GTGTGTGTGTGTGTGCTGGTGCGTTCAGGGACCTGGAGGAGGCTCTGGAGATGGGAGTGGACTGGTCTCTGAGGGAAGGTTACGCCTGGGCCGAAGACAAGGAGCACTGCGAGGAGTACGGCCGGATGCTGCAGGCCGACCCCAACAAAGTCTCCTCCAAAGCCAAGAAGAGAGGCCTGCCGCAGGTATCCCAGCAGCCCCGGCGCTCGGCGGTAACAGCACGATTAATTAGGGAAGTAGTTTTAAAACTGTGTGTGTGTGTGTTGAAGCTCGGCACTCTGGGAGCAGGAAACCACTACGCAGAGATCCAGGTGGTGGACGAGATCTACAACGACTACGCCGCCAAGAAGATGGGCATCGACCACAAAGGTCAGGTGTGTGTGATGATCCACAGCGGCAGCAGAGGGCTCGGACACCAGGTGGCCACAGGTAGGAAGTGCACCTGAATGCACCTGAACGCACCTGAATTTAAAGTGATTTTATTTTTTTTTTTGTAAAACACAGAAATATGAATTATACTAACTTTAAAATGTTAAATATTTATCCCAGCTTGTCTCTACAGTGTGAGTTTATAAAGTTATGTTACTATAAATAAAACTGAGGCTTTTAAATGTAACTTTATTAACACATTTATACACACATCTTTATTTAAACATATTTTTATTGACATTTATTTATCTGTCTTTCAGTAGTTTTCCTACGTTCCTACTGTTTGTTTCCTGTTTTAAATAAAGGAATAAATACAAAATAAAACCCCAGATCGCATTTATTCCGGAATAACACAAACTCGTCTCCGCGTTGTTGTCGACAGACGCTCTGGTCGCCATGGAGAAGGCGATGAAGAGGGACAATATCATCGTGAACGATCGTCAGCTGGCGTGCGCTCGCATCATGTCGCAGGAGGGCCAGGACTACCTGAAGGGGATGGCGGCCGCGGGAAACTACGCCTGGGTCAACCGCTCGTCCATGACCTTCCTCACCCGACAGGTAGACTCACCTGCAGGGGGCCTTTATTCCAGACCGGGCTTTTATTTGAGGAAATCACATCTTTATTCACACAAATCTTCACACGTATATTATTTATATTTATTATTCTTTATCTGCCTGAACATGTGAGAAGCTGACGACCTTCCCGCTGTAGACGGTTTGAAACTCTTCTGTTTTTCAGGCCTTTTCTAAAGTGTTCACCACGACGCCGGACGACCTGGACATGCACGTCATCTACGACGTTTCCCACAACATCGCCAAAGTGGAGGAGCACATCGTGGACGGGAAGCAGATGACTCTGCTGGTCCACCGCAAAGGATCCACCAGAGCGTTCCCGCCGCACCACCCCCTGATCCCCGTAGACTACCAGGTACGGGACCTCGGACCGGAGGATTTAATGAAAGTGCTGCTGGAGCTTTAATCGATCTTCTTCTTGTTTTCAGCTCACAGGTCAGCCGGTGTTGATCGGAGGGACGATGGGAACCTGCAGCTACGTCCTCACAGGGACCGAAAAAGGGATGACGGAGACGTTCGGCACCACCTGCCACGGAGCGGTACGAGTCCTCATCAGTCCCCATCAGTCCTCATCAGACTGCAGGTTTTATCCCTGAAGAGAATAAACCTCTTTGATGTTTCTCTTCTGTTTCAGGGTCGCGCTTTGTCTCGAGCGAAGTCCCGCAGGAACCTGGACTTCCAGGATGTTCTGGACAAACTGGCCGACAAGGGCATCGCCATCCGAGTGGCTTCACCTAAACTGGTCATGGAGGAGGTGAATATGTTTGTTCTAGCATTAAATGTGGCAACAATGCTGAAAGTGTCATTAAACTGTAGCTAACGGCGCCACCAGTGGTCGTTCAGTGAACTGCACAATCCATCTTCTGTATGCAAAAGATCAAGAATTGTTGTTTTGGTTTATTTCTAAAGTTTTTCTTTACTTTTAGGCTCCTGAATCGTACAAAAACGTGACGGACGTCGTCAACACGTGTCACGACGCTGGAATCAGTAAGAAGGCGATTAAACTGCGACCGATCGCTGTGATTAAAGGATGAAGCTGCACGACGCGAAGTTTAAAGACAATTTGAACCAAACGAAGGACGTTGTGATGAAAGAGACTTCAGAAGCAGAAGATATTCGCTTTTTGTTTTGTTTTGGTGTGGAATCAATTTTTGTTTAAGAAATTCAGCAGCGGGAAAAAATAAGTTTGAAAGTTTTATTTGTTTCATGCCAAATCTGTGATCTAAATAAAGGAGATCACTTAAAACTGAATCATATACTCCATTGTTAAGCTTTGAGGCAGCAACCAATCAGAGTCCTCGATTGCTGGAAAACATTAGCAGCTGCTGACGAGGTTAGCGTAGCTGCTGCTATATCAGAACTGTGCTGTTCGATTTTATTTACCCTTGATTTTTATTTTTGCAATTATTACTTTCTAACGCCAAAAAAACAGAGCAAAATTGTTTAGAAAAGCTGCCATAAAATCAGAACTTTAAAAAAAAAAAAATGTATTTGGCACTAAAAATCTTCCTTATAGAAGATCAAGATTTGTTGTTTTGGTTTGTTTCTAAAGTTTTTTTTTGTTTTTGTTTTCAGGTTTCTGAATCAGATAAAAACAAAACAAAATCTGCTGTGAAATCAGGAATTTTAAGGCTCAACAATCTAAAAACCCCTGGAAGAACTGATTAATGGGTTATTGATTAATGGGCTAATGGTATAAGGGGTAGTGTCTTTTCAGGTGTCCATTATCAGGAATTAACGGACGGTCCTTTTCATAATTACCTCTTTTCTTATAGCAAGATGTGCTTCTCTTGCAGTGGATCATATTTAACGCGCTGATAGTGGATCTAAAAATGATTAAAACATCAAATGAAAGGTTTGAAAGTGTGTAACATCTTTAATTTAAAACTAATCAACATTTTAGGAATGTATTAGGTAATCTTAATGTTTTAAATAACATTATTTATCTCAAAGTGACACTGCAGCTGCTCTACATGATGTTTACAACTCATTTCAGATGAAACTGACTTTTGCTCGGGAACATGTTTGTTTTGTTGCTTTGCAAGTTCATACATTTTAAATAAAATAACATTTCCCTACTTTCACATCGGTTGGTTTAAAAAATGTACCGACCAACCTACAAACTTTCTCACTCGACCATAAAGGTCCCTGCGGGTCCTCAGGTTGATCCAATATCCTGTTAACTGTTATAACCTGTTCACTTCAAAATAAAAGGCCTCTGGTAAGATTTTTAATACTTTTCTTAGTTCACCATTTATTTTAGTAGGTTTTATATAATAAACAAAACACATTTAAATAAAATAAACAGTCAAGAAGTTTTATTAAATTATTTTCAGTCACAAAAATATTCACGTCATTGTTATTGACCTTAAAGTTTAATTTATAACAAAACTTCATGTTTGTGTGTAAAAACCTTTACTCATGCTTCCCTTCCCCCGGTAATCAAATCAAAGCAGATTCCTTTATGATTAGTAAACACTTTATTGGTTCTAACAGAAGATTTATCACCATATCAAAACAAAACAAAATCAACACATTTCACCATCAATGAACAAATGAATTCATTTGGCAAGTTTCTCTTCGATATGAGCAAAACTCAGTTCTCCCGTCAATAATATTCATCAATAATATTCAATAATCGCCTAATGAGGCCGATTTAAGTGGCGTTTTTTATTTCCCACGTCCTTTTGAAAACAGCTGATGAAGGAAGGAAGGGAGTGAATACTACGACGGTACGATGTGTTCTGTGATATTGTGGAGACGTTAATAACCGAAGAAATAATTCAATATTTGGGTAAAAACATGGTTGTTGTGAGACGTTCAGGTGAATATTAATATCCCCAACAAGGACGTGGTTAACCTAGTTTAGCTTAGCAAGAAATATTGGCAGCAGTCCAACCAGAAACTGCATTAAAGTTACAGTTTGTGTTTGAATTAAACGAGATATAACGTCTGTTTTAACTCAACAGAGCATAGTTAGCTTAGCACAAATGCTAAGCTAGGCTAAACTGATATTCATCTTCTCATCCGACTCTGGTGAAGACTGCTAAAAGTCCACTTATTAGCTTTTTTTAGCGAGTAAGTCGACCTCCAGATCGTTTCCAGGATTAAAGTTGAACTGAAATATTGTTGAACGCAACTCAAACATCAAGTTTATGTCATTTTTGGTTTTGTTAAAATAAGATTTTACTGTTTTCATCCCGACTGGTTGCAGAAATTACTGAATTAATTTAAGGAGAACTTTGGTGATATTTTATGTATTTCTTCTTCTCAACAGATATCTCGTACAGAGCCGAACCGACAATGAACTGATCCTAATAATAATGTAATAATGTTTATTAATCCGCCACCTAAAATAATCTCTAACAGCTGTTTCATGAATTTACTGAGCCTTTTGTTTAAATAAACTTTATATTTTAACTTTTATATTTATATTTGAGAGCCAATAAAGTACTCCAATTTACAATTTTCACCTTTTTTCGTGGTATTTGTTGACACGCCCCCTTTTTAAAAACTTCCTCCTTTCCTGTACTTAGACATGCTACGTGCTAGGCTAATCTGCGTTGAAAAGAAACCACATTTTGCAGAAGGCTAAAAGATAAGATGGGACTGTATTTATGTCTTACGTTAACCAAACACTAACTAACTTGCTAAATAATCTAAATCAATTGTTAGTTAGGTAATTAGCTGGCCGAGATCGTATCCAGTGGGAGGAAGCGGAAACAAGATGTGTGTGTTTGTATGTCGACGATGTGACTGGCTTAAGAAGAAGACTTTTACCTTTAACTGGCTTTATTTATATGCCTGTACGACCACATTTAATCGAACACTTTCAGGCACTTTCTCTGGAGGATTTCCAAAGGCAAAGTTTCTGGGAAAAAAAAAACTTTAAAGCTGAAATCAGATCAAACCAAATTACAAGGAATGCACTGAACATCACAAACAGGGGAAACGGTACATTGAGGGGGGGGTCAGAACAAAGAGAGGCGTCACAACAGCCAAAGTTTAAAGAACTGAAGAATCTGCAGAGTCGACGGTTAGAAACTAATCAGACACAGTTTGTACAGTTCGATCTCATCGTCTCGCACTGATTGGTTTCGTTACTGTTTGACAGCTCCTTCACAGTATCGCTCGCTGTAAAGCGTTGCATAATCAACGTGTCGATCATCCTGAATTGTCACAAAAAGCTTGAATAGAAAAAATTCATCGAGCCGCTTCTGTACACGAGCAAATTCATGTTTTTACAGTGCGCGCGTGATTCCTATCGATGTGTTCATGCGTTCATACGGAAGCTCATTAACGCCAAGAAAAGAAAAAGATAATGTGATGACAAGAAAAAAAACACTCGTAATGAGTCAAATTTATAATCTGAGAAATCGTTTTTGTTTTTTTGTCAGAATTGTGAGATTTATCAGGACAAAATTATCTGTGAAAAATGGACCAAAAAAAGTCAAACCTTTAACTCCAAATTATACGATTTTCAATTTTACTCAGTGAACAGTTTGAGATAGCTAAATCAAAATTCTCACATTTGCAACAAATTATGGAATACAAAGTCAAAAGTATGTCAAAAATACAGAAAATATTAGATCAAAATTATGATATAATAAATAAAAATACACTTTAGTCAAAAATAGGAAATGTGAGAAATAAAAATACTTTTTACTTTTTAAGTATTTCCTCAAAAGTTTGACTTTAATGAGTATTTTTATTTTTTCCAACTTTTAATCCTTTTTTGGCACAAATGGGCTTCCATATTTAGTTTCGAGACGGGAATGAAGATTTTAAAAAAGAAAAACTAAACCTAGGAACTTTATTTACATTTTTTAGCATCGTATTCTCTTATTTACACTTTGTTCCTCCATTTTATGTTCATTTCCATCTGAAATTATAAACAAATATTACTCATATTTCCAGGAAAACAAAAATATTCTGGATCATGTCTTCAATTTTTTATTATCAACTCACCGTACGGGTGCTGAATGAACTGAACCTGGAGTATCTACATCCCATCGGGTAACAAATATAAAGAGATAATACCGACAGTATTTGCTTTTAAATGGAGAATTCAGGAAAATAAAGTCGAGCCGGGCTGTAAGAAAGTTTCACTTCAAACTTAAAACCAACCGTCCATCAAATAAAAATAAATCAACGCCACGTTTTGAATAAAAATAATACAATTCAGCCCTTATCTTTTTGTCCATTCTGTGGCGACAACATCCAAACAAACTCAAATCTAGCAGGTTGTGAGATGTGGGTGTCTAATGTGAGCTAAAGCTATCGTGGAAGGATAATTACCGAATGTTTCTCCCACACATCTGTTTGCTCCTAAAAACACGACTTTCCACAGAGTTCTCCACATCGGTCGAGCTCCTTTACGTCTCGAGTCCATGTGGACAGCTCGTCTCGGCGGCGGCTGGAAGGGTTCGTCCGTCCGCCGACCTTCTGTCCACGTCCCGACTCAGACGGACCGGGGATTCGTTACGCGTTCACTTTAAGTGCAAAAGCGGCTCCTATGCTAAGTTCCATTGTTTTTGTTGTGAGTGGCGTCGTACGACCACTTCCTGTGAAAGTGTCCTCTTGGTTCCCAGTGAACTTCCAGTTTTATTTCCTACAGCTTGGCTCGCTGGAAGAACGCCTGCACAGAGAGAGAGAGAGAGAGACAGACAGACAGACAGAGAGAGAGAGAGAGACAGAGAGACAGACAGACAGAGAGAGAC